TTTTCGTAGTTGAGAAAAAAAAGAATTCGTTTCAAGAATGTAAACATTTGCATAATGTAACCAAAGTATATAAGTTCGAACGAAACTATGTATTCGATGACGTGAATATAAAAATGTTAATGAGAAAACTATTCTAACTGAGTTGATATTTTATTTATGAGTAATTGCTAATAGACTAAAGAGGGAATCATATGACATGATTCACTACTTTTGAATTTATAGGCTTTCTCTACAGAATGAAGAGAGTGCTGGATTTTTATTATTGAATAGGGTATTGACAGGAAGGTTGAACAGAAGATTTTCGACCTGAAAATGTGTCTCTACATTGATATCCGTATCTTAAAAATATCTAAAAAGTTTCCTTCAAAACGGTTGCTTCCTATTTTAAGACATTCGATGTTCATGAATCGATTCGATTTTAGAAATAACCTGAAAGCTTGGATGGTGAATATCTTACAAAAGTAGCAATCAGTTTTTTTACTGAAACTTTTCTAATTTTCTCAAGAATGTAAGACTTCTAGACGCAATTTCAGGTTGAAGATCTTTTGTTCAATTTGTGTCAATATCCTGTCCAGTAGTAAAATTGTCATCACTCTATAGAGAAGACCTACCGATCCAACCCGCACTGTTTTGAGGCTATTCTAGTCTTGGTTCAACAAGGACCATTCGCATGGAGTCATTCTCTTGTAAGATAATTCTAAAAATATTTGTCGGAAACAAATTGTTCTAAGAATTTCTAGTGTCAGAACGACTTACTCAAAACTATCTCATGAAATAAAACAATACTCCATAGTTAGGGAATATTTTTTGCAAATCTGTTATAATAAAAGATACATATGGTATGAAAATTATTATATTCGATTGTTGATTATAATAATTTACACTATTAGAAAAAACAAAAATATAAATTTGATACAAAATTCTATTGTTCAATTATACATTGAACAGACCGAAGATTGAATGAAACACTTAGATAAAAAATGCAATTTGGATTCTAAAACTAGCCTTAAAATTTACATCATTGATTGTTTGATTAGAGTTCGTTGGATTGGTTTCAGACTCGATCCTACGGGTATTAGAAGATCAGCGCCTATATTTTCTGAGAAATTTTCTAAGGTGTGTGAGTAGCAGAATACAAATAATTGATAAAAAATATTTCGCATCTTTGGAGCGACTTGAAGACTAAGACCAAAAAAAATTTCGTTGAAATCAGAAGTGCATTTTGGATCCGATGGAGCTTTAAAATCAGACGATCGTATTTTCTAATGGAATGATCACTTAATATAAAATTTTTTAAAAATGAATACTTTATAAATTTAATATTATCAGGTTTTTTGAAATTTATTAATGAAACCTTAAAAATCCGACGTAGTTATTAGAGTAAAAGGTGAATTTTCACTTGGACATTTTGGTTCAGTCCAGATCGTCTTTTCTTTCCATTTGAGAAACTATTCAGAAAATACAATCGAGTTCTTTGTCAACATTTTAAAATCATATAAAAATCCTTTTGAGAATGCAACAGACATATATATGTATATACATTAATAGGTTTTTTTAAGCGACGTTATATAGGGTGTCCAGTAAATGACTAGAGTTAGAAAAAATTGCATATCTCTCTGCTACGGCTCGAGCAAACAGGCTGATTTTTCTACCAATAATAGAAGCATGTTCACACTTTAAATCCATACAGACAAGATTAGAAAGAGCCTTTGTTAAGTACCACCAACGACCTCAACAAAAAAATTTTACTTTTTCACAGATAAGAAAAAAAACAATAGACTTAACAAAGGATCTCTCTAGGCATGTCTTTATGAGTATAAAGCTTGGACATGCCTCTATCATTGATAAAAGAATCAGCTCTTTTGCTCGAGCCATAGTGAAGATATTCAATTTTTTTGCGGCAAAGTGACTTTTGCGCTACTCCGTATAGTGTTCTTTTCCTATCTGTGAAAAAGTAAAATTTTTTTTGTTGAGGTCGTTGGTGGTACTTAACAAAGGCTCTTTCTAATCTTGTCTGTATGGATTTAAAGTGTGAACATGCTTCTATTATTGGTAGAAAAATCAGCCTGTTTGCTCGAGCCGTAGCAGAGAGATATGCAATTTTTTCTAACTCTAGTCATTTACTGGACACCCTATATACATATACTACACAAAGTATTTTCTTTGACTCTAAATAAATCAGTTCAAAGCGGCTATAAGTTTTTTGATGATTTTTGGCTGCAGAAAGATAAATATGTAGGCTTCTAGAGAAAGACTTCCTCTCTGTAATTGTGTATACATTATCAAATTCTACTGCCTACCGTTGACATATCAATAAATGTTGCTATCTTTGTCACATGCTGTCGTGGCTATGACGAAGATGGCGCTATCTATTGATATGTCAATGATACACAGTAAAAACTTCATAATTCATCTATAAGCTGATGCGATTTACTCATTTCATCATTTCTAACACAAATCCATTGATGCACTTGTTTTGGGTCAATTTATAACTGGCTCAATAAAAAAGATAATTTTATTAAAAAAAATTAGGCATAGGTTACAACGTTGTTATATCATATTTTCATCGTAGCCATTTTAATTTTCTCTATTTTTTTGGTATCATTAACTAGCATCATCATTATCATAAATAAGTAAACTCGAAAACTAAGCCACAATAGTTGATGTGGTTAATACAGACGGCTTAGACGCATCCACATTAAGCCAGGGACATGACTTCGATTCAAAATCTATGAGTTCTAAGAGGTCAAAAATTTTTATGCCCTTTAATAGTATAACATTTCCTTTGCTAAAGATAATAGGACAGAACGTCATCTATCAATTTTTCTAAAAATGACCAACAAAATATTTAGCAGAAATACTATTCAAGTTACGCTGATTCTGAATATATATATATATTCTGTAATCAAATTTTTATAGTCGCCTTTTCTGAAAAGTAAATTTATTCAACAAAACATTTATTCATGTCGACTGATCCACCTATCTGTATGTTCGTGATAATTTTGTTCTTTACAGCTCATCATCGCACGTAAACGGACCGTATCTTTTTTTGTAATTCTGTAGATAGTAATAAAACACCATATCGTATTTTTATTGAATACGGCTGTATATGAGCCGTCATCTCATTATGATACGCTCAGAACACGATCCGTTTACGTATCGTAAATGGTTGTATAAGGTTCGTATCGTTCAACCTCGTTAATCAGAGGTTATTCAGGTCATTTACATTTAATACTTTTTTAACGATTTTATACACAATTTCTCATAAAATATTTTTGTATTTTTAGCCATCAGAAGGCTCTGCTTCTGCCAATACTTCAGTAAAACAATCAACAAATACTAATGTTCAAATGATTCAGGATTTGTTTCCTCATTTAGATGAAAAATATATTCAAGTAAGTTGAATAAAAGTAAAAAAAAAACCAAAGAAATGAAACTGAAAGATTATTTCAATAGTTTTAAACCCATTTTATCCATAAAATCAAGTGTTTGAAGTGTTTCTTCAAATGTTTCAAGTGACACAGTTGAATTAGGTTGTTCATCAGTAAATTCTCCAAGAACTTTTTCTGCTATAATCGATGCCTCATCATCACTAATTTTACCAACCTATTAATAATAAAATGTACATATTGATTTAAACTGGTTTTTTTTTCTATTAACTTACCATCAGTTTAAGTGTTTCTTGAATGTCTTCTTTTGATAAGCGTCCATCACGATCTACATCATACATCTAAATTAATAACATTTAATTAAATAAAAAACGGAACCTAATTCAATCATACACGAAACATAAATTTAATTTTGCGTGTTTTTGGTGTATCATATGGAGAATATTTTACATTCTCAACATCATTTAATGTTGATGATCCTAGACGAGGCGTATTATTTGATGTTAATACTTGAATTGATGAACGACGTTTTCCATGAGGATGATGATGATGATGAGGACGATGATGATGTTCATGTCCACCTATTTCACATTGACTAAATGTACTCATAAAATTAACAAATTGTGCAAATGTTAATCTATCATTTGAACCAAAATCATCCAAAATAACTTTTATTAATCGAGTTGCTATAGGATTTTCATCAAATTTTGGTACGCGACCAAAATCATTACCATCTAAATAACCTTTATATCCTTTTGTTTCACCTCGATCATCACAATCAAGTTCATTAAAACGAGTCCATAATGAAGATACTTGTTTTTTTGACAGACCTAATTTAATCATAATCTATTCAATAGGATTTTCTAGAAGAAAAAGTTCATTTACCTGTATTATTTATAATTTCATCAACATTAATTGAATCTGGTATTGATGGTTTAGAACCCATTTTTTTTCTGTTTTGTTTTTCGTATGTCTAAGATTAGATTCTTTTTATTAAATGGCGAACATGTTCTAAATGTTAAGCATACTTTTTTAAAAAAACGAGAAAAGAATACGAAGAGGATTGCGTTTTTTTTTTTCGAACACATATAAATGCGTGAAGTGGTGCATTCAATCATTATTATCATTGCTACCTATTCAAGTATGGTGCAAACGTGCGAGTATATTCGTTAAGACGAAGAAGAAGAAGAGAAAAAACAAAGAGGAAGAAATAAATCTTTTTTTTTATATGAAATATAAATGAAGCAAAAAGAGAAGAAAAATAGCAGTGAGAAAAAGTTCAAATGTTTCTTTATAGTTGTAAAGAAGAGATTATATCTTTTATTAACGATATTATTTGATAATTTTGGAGTTATAATTGTAAAAAAAAAATCAAAAATGAAGAAATTGCTATTTTTCGTAATGATAAAAAATACCAAAAGATAGAATAAGGTCATGTTCATGAAATAGACAAGACTTTCTTGAATGTTGTTTTGCTTGTGTTCTTCTATTTTTTTTCCTGTTAGATCGAATATGAATACTGAGATGTCAAGTATATGAACCAAGCGACTTAGAAGTTATTAAGCGTTATAAACGAACCTAATAAATACAATATATTATAATGGGCAACACATGGCAATTGATAGACGACTTGCTGTTCTTGTTACTGGTTCTCATTTTTGTTCTTTGTTCACATCGAATATTGACATATAGAAAAAAAATAAACTATATATTGTACTGCTAATATAGAGAAGAAACGAGAAGATGTTGTGATAAACTCAAAATGTACTAAGCAGTTGTCTACCAGCATAATCTGAAAAACAATAATCTAATGAATCTAATAAGTTACGCATTAATTCATCATAAATACATAGAAAACAAAATTAGTAGTTCTAATCTCTTTTATTTCTCTAGGTTTGTCTTAAACATTATAATAACAATACTGAACAACTTGTTAATGCTCTATTTGATAATACTGTTCCTGAAAATCTAAAATTTGAAGCATCAAGTACAACATCATCATTATTACCTTCATCAATTTTTACAAATGAAAATGAAATACCATTTATTAGTAAAGATTTTTCTATACTTGAACAACGTTCAAATATATATGATAATGATGAATTTGATATATTTAATCGAGATAATATTGATCTAACAAAGATACATCGAGGAAAAAAGTTTGTGAAAATATTTTTTCATAATAACATTTAACATATTTTCTGAATAAATATTGATTCTTTCAGAACACGAGACTCAACAGCAGATCTTGATGACAAATCTCATTTAATAGGAATGAGTGAACGTTATTCTCGTTTAGGTCTTATTGAAGATGAAACAGATGAAGAATATGATGATGAATATGATGATACGTATGATGATGGAATTGTTAATGTTAGAGATAAAGATGATACAATTGATCATGAATTAGAAAAGAATGAAAATAGGTTTGACATTTATGAAATTCTTTTTGTTTTTGATATAATTATTTTGTTTTCTCATTAGATTATTGGGAAAACAACCTCAACATTATCGTCAACGAATAGATAAAGATGATGATGGTGAAGAAGAAGATAATGAAAATCAGGTAATGTTTGTTTTTTCTTATTAAGATATATAATAAATAAACTATTTAAAGACTAAACGTCGTACTCAATTTGTTGAAAATCCTGAAATAGTTCGTGAACGAAGAGCACAACAACGAGCAGCTTGGCAACAACGTCATCAACCACATCGAGCACATACGGAAGAAACACGTGATGTTGCTGGTAATGTGCGTGGTCGCGGTCAATCAGCAACCGTTATACATAATCGACGTTGGAAAGATGCACATAAATCTTCACAAGGAAATCATAATCGTCGAAATCGAGCTGCTCAAAAATCTAATCGAGGATTACTTTCTTAAAAAATAAAATTTTTTGTTGCCTTTTATTTTAAATAAACATCATTTATTTTATAATTATAGAAATTTGTTTTCTATATTCAAGATGACTACTGAAAAACAAGAAAAAATTGACGAACAAATTCGTCCATTATATGCTGAATTACAAAAATATGGACAAACACAAGATTGGGATCGAGCATTGAAAACTACACGAAAAAGTATATTTAGTGAATAAATATAATTTAAGATTATTTTTTGTTTTTTAATATTGAATAATTAGTATTGGGTATTTCAAGTAATGAAAAAAAAGCAACACATTGTAAAATAGTTTGTTTAATGCAACTTGATAAATTCGATGAAGCATTAAATACTATTGTGAAAAATGCAATTGATACAGCGTATGAATTTAAAGTCTTTTGTTTTTTGTTCTTTTCTGATAAGAGAAAATTTTTCTTTAGAGATTTATTTTTTGAACGTGCTTATTGTGAATATCGTCTTAATCGTATTGAAGATGCTTATAATACATTAAAAAGTATTGATAGAGAATTAAATGAACGTGAACAAGAACTTCTTGCTCAAGTGGTTTGTTGAGAATCTTGTTTACTTTCTTTCTTTCTTTCTATTGTTCATAATTTAATTTTTTTTAAAAAGCTTTTTAAACTTGAAAAATATAATGAATGTGTTGGATATTATCGTTCATTACTTAAAAATAATCAGGATGAATATCAATCAACACGTCATGCAAATTTTATTGCTGCTTTAGCAACTTGGAAATTAACAGATTCTTCAAGCAAAATTCAAATGGTATAATAAATTAATTTAGAATTAGAAAAAGAAACTTTTTTATTTATTAAATTAGGAATCCAATGATTTAAGTGATGAAACATATGATACAACATACAATTCAGCATGTGTTCTTCTTAGTTCGGGTCAATATGTTGAAGCAGAAGTAAAACTTCGAAAGGCTGATGGTTAATAGTTGAGAAAATATGTTTTTTCATATTCACTTATTTATGATTTATTTAGCTCAATGTCGACGTGAATTGGAAGAAGAAGGAGATATGAATGAAGATGAAATATTACGTGAAACTGCAAATATTCGGTAAATATTTTCTTTTTCTTTTAAAAACTATTCAATATATGATTTTGAATTAATGATTTAACGAAAAATATTCATTTTCTTATATTAAATAACTATTTCTTTATTTTATAATACGAAGAATGTGTCTTCCATTTTTATTTTACTGTAAAAATGTAATTTATCAAAAGTTTTTTTTGAGCAATAGAAAAATCATAATGTCTAAGTAGATGCATATAAAACAAATGATTAATAAGAAAAAAACACTTTCAACTGTCAAACGTCATTTTACTATGTGTAGGCTTCTATTAAGTTGAAAGATCGCAAATAATGAATGAGAACTAGAAATTCCTATTTATCTATTTCCGACTTTGACAATTTCCGCAAGTAAATTAAATGTTATTTATAATTGCTTGCATTTTCATTTATATTGATGAATGTTGAGGATAGATGAATATTTCAGTAAACGTATTACATTAGCTACCCGAAGGACATGGATTTGAGATAGACGTGTAGAATCTACTGATACGTGTGAATGTGCATTTGGTGAAAATTGTTGTATATCTAAAAGTTTTCGAGAAGTATATTTCCATTAAGAAGAAAATCGTAAAATTATTAAAAGATTTCTTTTGTTCACTTGGTTTTTTTGTATATTTATTTGTAATAGTTAGGTGTATTATGTTCCTTCTTTCTCCTATCGATAAGGAATGAGATGGTATTGTTACATTCAAAATAACTTATTTTCCTATTTCTTTTAATGATTTACGTTCAAATTAATTTTCACTACAATAAATTGTCTTTGCTTCTGTTGCATTTTGTTTTCGTTAAATTTCTAATCGCTGTAATCTATAGCTTTAAAACACTAAAAGCTTTCTCAAGCATATGGTGAAAAACAATCTTCTTGCAATTGAAATCGACTTAACAGTAAAAAAGAAATTAAGATCAGACAAAAATCTTTAAGCTTAAGTTTATGAAAAATTGTATGGAAAATGCTTTGAAAAGAAAACTTGAGACACAGTAATGCTTACCGTTGTTGTTGATGATGACGCATATAAATAAGAACAAAAAAAAATTGTTAGCACAGCCTCTTTACAGATGAAATGTAAAACTTACATGTAATCTTTAACCTTATTATTCTAATAGAAAATATGAGAAGCGAAAAATCTCCAATAGATTACAGTTGTTTTCTAAGGATAATCGATCGTCAGAGAAACGATCTGTCTTATTTCTTTTTCTTCTAACACTCTATTTTTTGTTTGCTTTGTTGTTATCTTTTTCGTATTCCATTTTTCTTACCATTGATTTAACTGATAAATAGACCTGTTGTAAATATCTATGATGTCTACAATAGATCTCAACACACTATTATAAATGTTAATAAGCTCACAAACACTGATATTAATTATTTTCCAAAGCTATAACTTGATCGATTCTCGCTTTTGACGTTGATCATATGATGAGTATAACAAATTAATGCATCACTATCGATCATCCTTGGTATCTGGAATAAAAATTTTTATCTGGGTAGAAATCAGCAACTGCACTATTTACAACATTCACAAACGCACTTCAGTCATTCAAATATCGACGCGAATTTTAGAAAGTTCTAGAACTTTCTAAAACAGTCTTAATCTTGATGTTAAATCCGTCCAAAACCTTTTTCTGTTGTTAAGAAACTCTGGGAAAGGAGTCTAGTACTTGTTGTCCTCGCTTGCTATGAAAACATGCCCAATGAGCTGTGATTCCGGCAGTGAGAACCTAGGTTAGAGATGCAAAATCTTGATTTAAATTTATACTCACGATTTTCTTCGAAAACACATGTGAGTTCCACAAAAAATTTCATAATATTAACTGTACTTTTTATTCTGTAAACGTACGTTGTAAGCAAAGAATTATATATGGACACAATTATCCAAGATGAAACAAAATCATTTTCCATTCGACTTTGATTTTTTATAAGAACTATTTTTTTAAACAAGTTTTTTTACCATGATTATATGTAAACATATTGGATCTTACAATTCATATCTAATACAACGTGATTAGTTGATTAATTAAAATGTAATTATCTAATAACTTTCTAATTTTATGGCAGAAAAGTTCAAGAATTTCAAAATAGACTTCATACTACAAACTATAATTTTTAGCAAGATTCGCCTACAAGAAATGCTTCAGTAAAATTGATTTTTTCTGGAACTTACTCATGCAACAGAACGAGACTTTTTGTTGTACTATCATTTTGAATTTCTTAAGAAGGATTTGTATCATTTGAAATTGATTTTTGAACTTCTCATTCAATTACCGGACGATTTTTCATTTTTATATTCGTACTAAATCATGTCACGGACAGCAAATACACTTAATTTTTTGGAAAATCTAAACATCTTCAGAAAAAACTTTTCACAGAGATTTTATAATCTGAAGAGTCCTCTACAAAATACACTATTTAATTTTAAAACATACTTTTTGAACTCACAGGATTTTGAAGTGGAAACTCACGCAGTGACACCCTTTGTCCTTTTTTGTGTTATGTTGCTAATGTTAGTTATTTCATAATAACTCAAGGAAATCAAAGTCTATAAAACTGAATCTTTCAGATTATTTGAAATAACTCAACATGCATATGATACGTAATAGTTAGCAAAAGAAAGTTTAGAGTCCAAAGATATACACATTTTATTTGACAAAATGACGTCGCTAACGAATAAAATTGTCGATGCACTTATGTCAGAGATGTAATAGATACCGATTATCGACGAATTCGATCTAGATTTCAGACTAGTACGGGTCAGAACAAATGAAGTAACATTTTAAAGTTTTAGAATATTAAATTCTAAAAGGCCGTTGTTATTCTACTACAGGGAATACAGTAATATATCATCTATGAACCAAGTAAAATTCGAAAAGAAATAAACATCGATAAAAAAATACTTCTCAAAAAACATAAGCAAAAAGATTCTTTCTTTTTTTATAATCGAAACTTACATAGATAAACTAGATTTTAATTGAATACACTAGTGATCTCTACAACTTCCTAGATTTAGTCAAGTTTCAATGAGTATATATATGATTCTAGCAGTTAGAATAAATTTTTCGAGAAAAACTTAGTTTTCGAGAAAATTCTTTATTTTTGCGATAGATTTTACGCTTCTGAATTGAAAGAAAAATAGCAGTCAGTCTCGCAATTATTAAATTTTTCATTTAAAACGTTAGGGAGGTAGCGATATAAGTCGACCTAAAGATTTACGTCGATGTCGACTGATATACCTAGTAATTATTTGCGGTAATAGTGGCGAAAGTTCAATTGGTTAGCTTACAATTCTAGTAAGACATTGAGAATAGTTGATCTTTCATTTTTACTTTACTATAGTCCAAACAATCAAAAGTAGGAGTTGGAATTTTACTTTTTTTTCAATTTCATCATGCTGCGTTGTCTTGTTTTTATATACTATGGACTGATGTGGATCGGTCAAATATTTACTATTATAATCCTATAGTAGTCCTCTACCTATGCTGTATATCTTGGAATTTTGTCTTGGTGTATATGTGTATGTATAATATCAACTGTAGTGATTCTTATCATTTGATTTTTATTTGCACATTGCATTTTGTATCACATATCTTTTTTATCGTACGTATAAATGACACTGTGTATTAATATATTGCGGGATAACTTTTTATATTACGCTTTCTTTATTGTATTATGACATATAGAATTGACCTGTTCATATAGAGAGATCATAGCCACCATACCTTCAGATGAGCTTTATGTGTCATAGTACAATAAAGGAAGTGTAATATAAAAAGTTATCCCGTAATATATTAATACACAGTGTCATTTATACGTAGGATAAAAAAGATATGTGATACAAAATGCAATGTGCAAATAAAAATCAAATGATAAGAATCACTACAGTTGATATTATATATACACATATACACCAAGACAAAATTCCAAGATATACAGCATAGGTAGAGGACTACTATAGGATTATAATAGTAAATATTTGACCGATCCACATCAATCTATAGTATATAAAAACAAGACAACACAGCATGATGAAATTGAAAAATAGTAAAATTCCAACTCCTATTTTTGATTGTTTGGACTATAGAATAATGAATTTTTCCATAAGATGACCATGACATCAGCAAAAACATTGATTCTTAAAAATTATCATCACAACTTTTTATAGAGATATTTTTTGCTTTGTAAATTCTCTAACGAATAAATGATCTTTTATTCTGTCTATATTTTAGAGTACAATTAGCCTATTGTCTTCAACAACAAGATAAAAATGTCGAAGCATTAACACTCTACAATGACGTACTCAAATCAAAGTATAATTTATTGATGTATTCTTCAAATTTTCACTTATTTTATATTATAGACCAACAGACTTAGCTATTATTGCAGTTGCTTCAAATAATTTAGCTGTACTTAATCGTGATCAAAATTTATTTGATTCACGTAAACGTATAAAAGTAGCAACAGCACCTGAAACTGAACCAAAATTAAATGCTTTTCAAAAGAAAATTGTTCAAGTTAACGAAGCATTATTAGCTATTCACACGGGACAGGTTAATATTAAAACAAACAAATCAATAAAAAAATATATTTTTTTTTTGTTGATTTTTATTTTAGCATGAGACCGCTCGACGTATTCTTGATAATATGGTAGAAAAAAATGCTAATACTGATGACAGTATTCCATTAGCAAAAGTATCATTATTAATGAAAGAAAAAAAATTATCTGAAGCAACTCAATTATTACAAGTAAAAAAACTGTTAGCGCAATCTCTGTGGAATTAAAATGTAAAACACGATATACCTATCAGACACCGAAAACAAATCGAACCGAACCCGAACCAGTAAAACTCGGTTCAATTCGGCCTCTGATACCTATTATTCATACTCTCAAGGAGAGAATTGCTAAAGTACCTGTCACAGTCTGTGATGGGTCGCCAGGATATCTATCAGAGAGGCTGAAACTTTGGCTCAAAGAATTTTCGGTCTGGGCTTAAATTGACCTCATTAACCCCTATAAAAAACCTTATTTCTTTAATTAATTGTTCCATCCTTTAGCGCTGAGTAGTACATCTTAATCAAAATGCACCCTGCTCAACACTATGGATTCTAGCAACTAATTAAAGAAATAAGGCTTTTTATAGAGGTTAATGAGGTCAGTTTAAGCCCGGACCTAAAGTTCTTCATGACTTTTGACCTGGACCGAAAACTTGCCGGAATTGCGATCCGGTTCGAAATTCCTATAACGCGTCTATTAGAGTCTGTGATGGGACACCAGAATGTCTACAACGATCCGTGTGGATGAGTGAATCCAAATTTACACCCTATATACTTCAACAGTCCTTTTAGATCGTGTTTTACAAAAAAATAGCAAAGACAAAGAAAGCGATGAAAATTAATTTTTTATTTTCGTCTAGGAATTTATTGAAAGTGATAAACAACGACGTATTTCACTTTATTGTCGTTTGACATATGTTCAACTTCTTCTTTCACAAGGTTTTTATACTTATATTTTTAATCTTTATATATTATTATTAAAATATAACTTTAGGAAAAGTTCATCAAGCATGTGATTATTTAAGAAGTGATGATGAATTATTAGTTAAACCGGGCATTGTATGAATAGTTGTTTTTTTTTCTTTTTCATATTATTTTCTAAAAAGCAAATTCTTTTTTTTTTCTACTAGGTAGCAACATTAGTTACACTTTATAATTATTTAGAAGATTCAAAATCTGCTGCACAAGTTCTTAATGAAGCTGTTGATCGTTTATATAATCTTGATCGAACTAAAGGAAAAAATTCACGTGCACTTGCATATTTAATTAAACAAAATATAATTTATCAAGAAAAACAAGGCAATGGAAAACGAGTTACTGAAATGCTTGAAATTCTTCATAAGTATTGATTTTTTTTTTAATTGAAATTAATTAATTTTGTTTTTGCTTTTGGTGTTAGACTTTATCCAAATGATACAAATACATTATCAAAATTAATTGTTCATTATTTAAAATCAGATCCTGAACGAGCTAATTTATTAGCACAAAAATTACCATCAATTAAACAATTAGCTGAAGGTATTGATGTTGATATGCTTGAATCAACATTTGGTAAACGAGTACCAAAAGCAGAAAAAACAATTGAAAAGTAATTCAATTATTTTCTAATGATAAACATTAAATGAATATATTTTTTTTCTTTTAATTTTAAAGAATAAAAGTAGGTGATTCAAGTTCAACAACAACTACAACAGTAACAACGGCTACAACAAAACAAAAGAAAAAACGAAAACGAAAAGGTAATTTTATTACATCATAATTATTAATAACAGTAGAAAAGAAAAATCAATATTTTCTTTTTATTTTTAAGCTCATTTACCAAAGAAATATGATCCATTATCGAAACCTGATCCTGAACGTTGGTTACCATTACGTGAACGTTCATATTATCGTGGTAAAAGAGGAAAACGTGGTAAACAAGCTGCTGTTGGCAAAGGTACACAAGGTGCAGTTGGATCGGATCAATCAGCTACTACTACTATAACAACATCAACAGGAGCTCAAAGATCTATGCCATCATCAAAAACAACACCAGGTGCATCGGGTTCGACATCAACTCAACCAAAACCAACGCCACCACCAGGCAAATCCGCTGCGGCTAAGAGAAAAGGAAGACGTTAAAAATGATTTCATTTTTAAAATATTGTCATTCATTTGATTCGATAACTCGTTTTAGCAATAAAAAGCTGATTCTTAATATATAAAGATTTGTTGAGAAAATGATCAAGTAAACATTAAATTGTTGAAGAAGTAGAACGTTTTTTTTTATACTTTCATTGGTATTTGCCAGCAATATCACATCAAATAAGTAAATATTACCATGCTTATCATTTCAAACAATTCTTCCTACACTTGATGTTGGTTGTTACGTCATCATACGTTTTTTTTATAAACATTTGCGCATAAAATTAAGATTTGTCTATTGTTGACGTCTTTTTTTTATGATATGAATTATTATGACTAATATCGGAAGTAAAAAGTTTGTTTTTTTTTAACTATAAAGTAATGCAATTACTAGCCGCTATATAAATACGCAGTCAATATATTCACTTGTTGTATACTTATTAAGATCTGTCATATTCTAAATAATAAGAGGAGGCAAAACAAGAAGTAAAGCGTGAAAAATCAAAAAATAGAATCATTTACTTTTTGTATTCTCCATTATTCTTTCGATTTCGAGCGAACAATACACATTTAACTGTCAACAACGAAATTTTTTTTGTCATGCAGCCTGAAGGTAGGCGTTCTTTCACATATTTCTATTAGAAAAAAAAAACGGTTATATTATGTTTCTTTTCATTTATTACAGTTAAACTTGTATCTACAACAAATAATGTACATAATTGTTGTGTACCATTATCTGGTCATCGTAATATTTATCCAATTAAGTCAGAAGAGAATTCCCATGGTCATCATGTTAATAATCAAAATAAACAACGACAAAAAGTTGAAGCTTATGTTTTTAGAAAATTAGAAGAATATTCGAAGAAAAAAACAATCAATATTTTATGTTCAACATCTCTTTCTCATATTCGTCGACGTTTAAAACATGATATTAAACCTCTATCGAAACAATTTGATCCAAATACTGTATCCAAAGAAAAACTTCATCAATGGATTGATGAAATTCTTGAGCAAATTCAATCACATATATCACAATTACGATCATTATTTCAATCACAAGATAATCTTGAACATTTTCTTACAACAGATAAATTTTTTTCATCAAAAAATATTGATAATCAATGGAAACAATTACAATTACAACAAGCAAAAAAAGTTCTATTAAAGAATGCAAATGATAATGATGAAAAACTTTTATCAAGATATCAAAAATATATTATAGAAAAATTTACACCAAATGAACTTGAAGATAATAAACTTATATTAAAAAATCAAAAAAAAATTCATTTAAATGAAAAATTTCAAGAAGTAGAACATTTTGGACGAGAATATTTAACAAAACTACTTGATAATTATAAACAACGTCAATATCCTAAATTAGAATTAGTTCAAGAAATGATTGAACTTGGAATGGAACAAATGATTAAAAGACCAAAAAAAGATGAATTTCGTCAAGCATCATTATCATCAAATATTCTTGATAAAGCAACATTTATTCTTAAAAGTAAACAATCATATTCAATGTCTCTTCACAATCTAGCCGATGATTTTATGGTTAGTATTTATTTTTATAAATAGTCTAGATATTTGTCAGAGATAGAATTTGTTTTTTAATTCAGCATAAAACTACGAAATAATTTTCTTCTATTTAAAAATAAATTCTAATTTTCATTTATATCAACAAAATATACCATGTACCTGCCTTATTTTTATCTAGACAGAGTATTTTTTTCACTTATTAATATTGTAATGTATACGTTGATGATTTCTTCCATATCGACATCGGAAAATGATTTTCAAAAGTATTTTTATAAATAAATGAAGTAATATTTTAAATTTTTAGAGTATTTAATTCTAAGAAAAGGTAGTTATTACTCTACTACAGAGAACACGTAAGCTAAAAAATTTTTCATTTATTTGGGTTGAAAAATAATTCAATAAAATTTTTACAGTATCATATATTTATACTTCACATATCATCTGTGTCAAGTTAAAGTCAACAACAAATAAACATCTATAAAAAAAAATACTACTCAAAAAGTATAAGCTTACATATTCTTTCTTTTCTTTTAATCTAAACTTGGAAAGATAAACTTTATTTCAATTGAATACATTTGCGACCTCTACAGCTTCCTAGAATTAGTCAAATTTCAAATGAATATATGCACAAACATTACAACTTCCTAGAATTAGTCAACTTTAAAATGAATATATGCACAAACATTACAACTTCCTAGAATTAGTCAACTTTAAAATAAAGTTGAAAATAATATAGATATACAAAATCAATTTTTTATTCTTATCTTTTTCGATTTTTTTAATTTTTAAAACTTTTAGAAATTCTGTTTAATTTTGCCTAAATCTCAAATTTGTCTGTCACATATTTTTGTTTGCTATCAGGGAAAAAAATAGCAACAATAACCATACAGTAGTACTTCCTATTCATCTTCTAATAAAAAGTCGAACATTAACCCGATGTAACAATCAATTAGAATTGTACCCGAAGATCTTTAATATTAGTATCTCATATGAATAGAGATATGTGGGACCAATTTTAGTCTCGGCTCCAGTGACCAAGGCAGGATCAACGGAAAAAAATTGTCCCAATGTGTACTGAAGAATTTTTTTAAATGTGGTACGAATAAGTTTAGAATAGAATTTTATAGACCGAGACCAAAATTGAGACCGGAATCACTAGAAAAAAAATGTATCGAGACTATACTCGATTTACTGGGGCTATGATCGGGACCAATAAAAGAAAAAAGGTACTGGAACAAGAAAAACTTGATTTCGCACATCTCTAGTGTGAAACTAAACTTCTTTTTAGTCCCGGTAACTTCAATTTTCAATAATCACGGCCATAGTTCTAGCATATCTGTTTGGTTTCAGTTCCAATAAGTTCTTTTTCACAGTTTCGAGACTTTGATTTGGTCCCAATCTAGAGAAAGCTATTTCAGAATTTATTTATATAATATCTAAAAAAAAAGTGCCTAAGTACTCATTTTTTTAATTTCTTTAGCCGATAGATAGTTCATTTTTTATCGTCTCTCCTCAATTATATTTCGATTGATATGATTTACAAGATAATTCGCTGAAAAACCATAGAACATTTAACTATAATCTTCAGTTCAAATTCGGACAAATTTTTCTCTCTTAGTTCCTGTCCAAACTTTGGCAATTTTTCTTTCTCATATAACTTTAGAGATTAGATACGAACTCAAATATATTGTTATTAATATCTTCTTCCACTAAAGTGATACATATAGAGGCAGAAACTAGTGTCAAGATCGGTATTTGTTAAATTTTTTTTCAAACAGTTTCAACTATCTATTGATTCATATCTCTTAATCTATAGTCTCTATTAAACGAAAAAACAATAGTACTAACATAGAAATTTCATTGACATTTGTTTTGACGCATATTTAATCGTTTATTTTAGCTATTACGTTTTGGACATTCCGTAGACAATGAAAATAATAATGCTGACGAGTCTATAAGTGATCGATTTATAGTTCGTATTCATATGTTTCTCAATACAATTTCTCAACTTGTTTATTTATTAAAAGCCACTAACTCATCTGAATTTTTTTCACCATTATCATTATTTAATCCATTTAATTCTGATTTACCAAAAGAATATATTCTTTCACCAACTATTTATATTGATGAATGGACATGGTTATTAGAAAAATGGAAAATATCATTAGAAACATTGCCAATTAATCTTACAAATCAAGGTGCTTTTAGTCGACTTGTACGTACGACTATTGGTGTTGGTATTTCTCGATTATTTAGTTTTACTATAAATAATGAACAAGATGAACTTGATAAGAAACTTTTTCAAGCACTTCAAATGGGTTTTTATTATGGTATTGCTTATGCTCTTGTTGATGGTCTTCAAGATAATCAAAATCATCAACAAAAACAATTTGATGTTGATAAATGGCTTGAAAAAGCAGAAGATATTTTATGTGGTGATCAATTAAATACATCTTCATTACCTCAATTACCAATTATTCCACTTCTACTTGAAACATTTCATAGTCTTGGTCAACTTACATCAACAAATTCAATTACTGATCAAACATTTACTGATCTTGCTTTACTTCTTCGTTCACAACGATTAGATAAAAAAGATTTAGAAAAATCCAATTATAATGATATTGATCTTTTTTTAGGTCCTCTATTAAAAGCTCATTTTACTTATACAGCAACAGCTTTTATGGGTGGAGCAAATATAATTGAAAATCATCAACGTTTATGGATAACACCTTTTCTAGGACAATTAACAGATGATTGTCGAGATTTTAATGAAGATTATCAAGCAAAATCAATAACACCTGTAACATATTATGTTCAACATAATGGTTCATCATTTAATCCATTTTTTGTTTTTTTATTCGTTTGTGAAGATCTTTATATAGAAAGTAATCGTCGAAAGAATACAGGTGCATTTTTAGGACGACGAATAATGAGAACATTACGTTCACTTGGAAATGATTTTAATAAATTTATTACAATCTTTACAGAAAAATCATATCCGAAATTATATAAATATTTTCTTTCATTAGAATATTTATTTCCACGTATTAGTGATCCTGAAAAAGCAGTATTTCGTTATGTTAATATATTTGCAAATAATTATTCTCTTAATCATCGAAAACTCGAAACATTTGTATATGATTGTCAACCATTGATCGAAAAACAATTATCAATAGAAACAGATGATAATAATTTACTTGTTCATGGTATGAATTATAGTTTAAAAGCAGGTGGAAAACGTTTACGACCTTTACTGTTACTTATGGTTGCACAACTTTATAATATGGATATTAAAAGTGTATTACCAGTTGCTCGAGCTCTTGAATATCTTCATACAAGTAGTTTAATATTCGATGATCTTCCAGCACAAGATAATGCACCATTGAGACGAGGTCAACCAACACTGCATATGATGATTGACAGTGATCATAATATTATTCCACCATCATTAACTGAAGGACGAGCTCAATTAAGTGCTGTAAATCTCATTGCATATGCTATTCGATTAGTTACTGTTGATCTTCAAAAAGAAAATTTTTCACATGAAAGTATAAATGAAGTTGTTGCTGAAATAGCACAATCAATGAGTGAACTTTGCCATGGACAATTTCTTGATTTACAATGTTCAAGAACTAAAAAATCATTAACAATTGATGAACTTGATCGTATAGCTTATTTAAAAACTGGTAAAGCTATTGAAATTGCTATTATTTGTCCAATTATTCTTGCTAAACAAGACCAACCATTGGATTGTTTTCGTGAACTTAGTCGATTAATGGGTATTTTATTTCAAATGAAAGATGATCTACTTGATGTTGAAGGTGATACAGATGAACTTGGAAAAAAAATCAATATTGATCAAGAAAATCAAACCGTAACTTATATAAGTTTATTGGGTGTTAAAGGAACACGAAATCGTATTGTAAATATAAGAAAACAAGTAGAATCGATTCTGAATGATTTATGGCCACAAGCTGGTACAATGCGAGACCTTATTCAATATATTTGTGAACGAAAAAAATAAACAATTAAATCACTTTTGTTTTATTGTTATTTACTTTTTTTACTTGTCGATATTTTTTTAAATTTATTTATTTTATAACTTTGTCAAACTTAACTAAAATTAATTTACTTAACTTTTTAATGATATTTATTCGTATTCATAGAGCAACTACACTACTGACTAGAAGTATTTCCTCTCGGATCTTAGTTCGTATGAGAGTTAAACGTCTGAAAATTTCTGTGCAAGTATTCTACAGTAAATGAAGATCAGCTATGCCATCAGTACTAAAACTGCTGAAGCTAGAACGGCGTTATAATAGATAGCATACATGGTCACTGTAAATCTCGTAACTTGAGAACAAAAAAAGATTTTAAAGTCGAGTAACTACTTATATTGCAGCTCTACACTACAGCTATTTCTGATATCAATTTTATCAAAGTCCATCGAGCCGCTAATGAATGATGCCATTCCAACAGTCCAAAATACCATAGGCAGCCATTGAACACTAAATAGTTCAGCGAGAAACTGATGGATCGACCTGAAAATTTTAGAAGAAAAACACTCTACTTAACAAAAATAGAGCATCAATGACTATTGTGAACTTGTCAAAACTCTAGAGTCTTCATTACTCAACCAAATGAATTTATCTTTAGAGCAATGAAGGACTATGACTTAGAATATTACTTCTTGCTAAAAGATCGAAAATTACTCATATAGAAGATTAAAAATGGTACACCATTTACTTAAGTCTATTTTTTACTTTTTTCTGCTTAAATGAGGAAACATCTTTGTATGCCAACATTTTACTTATTAAACCGTTGCGAATGATTTAGAGTTTCGTGAAATAACAGGAACCATCTAGATGTTCATTTCTTAGACTAGAGGGAAAGTAGTTATTAGAGAATGACATAATTTAACTTGTCTATAGTTGGTTTTTTTTATAACTATCAATGGTTTTAAACCCAGTATCACATGACCTGTTGGCCACAACTAGATTTCACTGCTTTCTAAGAACTTCGAATGGTTCGTAACGATTTGATAAGTGGAATGTTGACCCACAACGACGGTTCCTAACTTTGGCACAAAAAAAGTAAAAAATAGATTTAACTAAATGATGTACCATTTTTAATATTCTATATGAGTAATTTTCGACTCTTTTAACATGAAGTTGTAGCCTAAGTCATAGTCTTTCATTGCTCTAAAGATGAGTTCATTTATTTGAATAATGAAAATCCTAAAGTCTTGACAAGTTCATAAGAGTCATTGATACTCTATTTCTGTTAAGCATAGTGTTACGCTTTAAAACTTTCAGAGCACAATGAGTAACTATGATAGAAAATCTTATAAAAATGTTGAATCCACTTATCGATCTCTCGCTGAATTATTTAGCGGTGAATAGCAGTCTATGATGTTTCGTACTACTGAAATGATCCAGTTCATCAATGCCTCGATAACCTTTGATAAAACTGATACCAAAAATAGATGTGATGGAAGGCTACAATATGAACGACTGTCAGACTTTAAATCATTTTTTGTTCCAAAGTCACAAGATTCACAGTGGTCTTGTATAATATTCATTATAACGCCGTTTTAGCTTAAGCGATTTTGGTACCGATGGTATAGCTGACTCATATTTACTGTAGAATACTTCTACACAAATTTTCTGATATCGAGCTTTCATATAGGCTGCGATTCGGGGAAGGGAAGTGTGTGGTACTTTTGACGAGTAATGTAACTTCGTTGTTCCAATGAAAATCAAATAAATGTTCAAGTACAATAGCTTGTCTTTCATCGATAGATAATATAAAAAGATATGTTCATTAAAGAAATCAGTTATTTAATTATTAACATCTTAAAAAAGAAGATACAGATATTTAAAAGCTGGAAAAATAAATGAGCCGATAATTAAGAAATTCTTATTGCGAATAAAGCTCAATATTTCTGTTTGAGTTTTTTCGTAATCAATTTACTTTATTGGTTAACTGTACTCAATGAGTAGATTTTATAAAGTAAACATGTATATGTTGGTAGTACTAATGAAAGACAACATTTTCTTGTAATCGAAAAATCACATAGATAAAAATAAAATCTCAATTGACTATTCCGTATGTGTCAAATGTAATACTCTCTAAACGTATTTCTAATATCAGAAACGACAGCTTATTAGGACTTGAATTTTATTTTTGTAAATGTCGCTCTACCCAAATGCTTATATGTGTAAATGACTTAAACTATTTGCATACTTCATTATTGAGATATACCTTATTTTTAGATTTGAACTGTATTCGACTTTGCTTCTGATCACAATGTGTAATCCTTCATAGTTTAGTTTGTCTATTTCCAAATCGCAACTTCTGTTAATAATTCTTACTTATCTTGTGACATTTAAAAATCTTTATCCATTCTAAACGCAAAAAACTTCAGAAAAGCAATAGACATTCTACACTATAAGCTTTCCCTATTATATCATAAAAATTTATAGTTAAAATTTGAGTTATAACAATTCTAAATAAACTCTACACCATTAATAGAAAAAAAGTTGTCAAGGCAATCGCTATAGAATAAAAAATGTGAACTGCAATTGATCTGCATATATATTATAAATCAAGGAATTCTGTAACATATGCTTCGTTGTGTGACTTCCGATGTACTGATATGCCCATAATGAAGGACGTTACTCATAATACGTCAGAAAGTGGAGGAAAAATTTATTCCGTTATACTTAATACCTCCTTTTATAGACTGTGTTTCACAAAATAATATATTCTATAATGGAAAATTCTTGATGTCTATAATTAAACACTTTTAAGAAGTTAATTTTTTTTACCACAAATTGGCCACTCTTAGTAGTGCATTACAATAGAATTGTGAACTTCAGTACATAACCGTGCCGATATATACGTATGGTTCACTGCTCTTCCTCTTTCCTCTTCCACTCTCTATTGTTCTCTCTGTTTGTTTCTCTATCATATATAAACTTGTGTTGAATGTGCAATAGACACATTCTGGACGTGTAAAGTAGCTAATAAACATCATTGCTGAGTAACGGCTAGCTACTCCTTCAGTCTGTCATGACATCCCTCTCTCTCTCTCTCTCTACATTTTATCGTTACAATAACTTATGAGTAATCTTCAAGAGGAAAACTTTAAGTAAAATATTATTTTTAAACATGGCTTTCCAATAATCATATCTCGGTAATAATACATCGAAATAGGTCAAGTCATTTACACACATAAACATTTGAATAACTATACATTCCTAACAAAAATTCCAGTCATAATAAGTTTTTAAAAAAATTTCGAGTGTTACTTTTGACATAACTTGATTATTTGATTGATACGTATGTTTAAATTAACATTGATATTAAGTTGAGTAGATGAATTGAAAAGCTAGTTTAGTGTTATATATTACTGCTTATAGCGTCTGATATAATAAACATATACATAGCGTATAAGATGAATGATGGATTAATAAAATTAGCAAATTGTCAATGAAGTTAAAAACAAAATTTGAATGATCAATAGAAATATCCCACTGTTCAGATTGACAAAAAATCATAAAAAAAAAAAAGAAAAAGAAAAAAAATCAGGACATAGATGATGATGGTAATTGTTGTTGAGTATTTAAATTAGTTTGTTTAACAATATTAAGTGCTTGAAGAATAGCTTGTGGATCTTTTCGTGCTCTAGCTGCACAATTTTCTAATGCTTCAGCAGCTTCATATTTTCCTTGACGTCGATATAATAAACTAAGATTTTTTAATGTTGTTGTTACTGTTGGTTGATCAGCTAAAATTGTTTTATACCATCCACCTTGTGCATCATAATTTTCATTTGTTATTCCACTTTGAGTTTCTTGTTGTTGTTGTTGAATACGAGATGAAGATTTATTTGAAAATTCTTTTTCTTGTGCACGTGTTAAAACATCTTTATAAATTATTTCAGCTTCTTTATATTTTTGTTGTTTAAGATATGCTGATGCAAGATTATTTTTTGTTTTAGCTACATTTGGATCATCAATACCTAATGTTTTTGTATATATATCAATAGCACGTTTATAATATGATTCAACATCATCATATTTTCCTTGATTTTGACAAAGTAATGCAAGATTATTAAGTTGTTTAGCAACATCGGGATGTAATGGACCAAGACATTTTTCACGAATGTCTAATGCTCGTTTACATAAAATTTCAGCTTCTTTAAATTTATTTCGTTTACCTAAATCAAAAGAATTTATATATATATATATAGAATAAATTGAATGAATTGATAATATACCATAAAGAACAGCTAGATTATTTAATGTAGCTGCTACAGCTGGATGATCAGGTCCAAGTGTTTTTTCTCGAATAGCTAATGCATCATTGAGTAAAGCAGCAGCTTCTTTAAATTTCGATTGATCACGATAAACAAGTGCAAGAATATTCAGCATTGTAGCAACATCAGGATCTAAATAAAATAAAAAAAACAAGAAAACATATATATTAAACAAAATTGAAATTTCGTTTTTGTAAAGTGAACCTTTCAGGATTGAAATTACTATGTTTTATAATAAAAAAATGTCTAACTTAACTATAATGAATGTGTCACAATTAGAGATCTATAGAAGCAAAGTCTTTTCATTTTACCAGGAAACGTTCTCAAGTGTTATCTGTCAATCGCATTAATATTTTGTCAAGAAGTAGATTCCAACAAGATTAGAAGAAACTTAAAAGAATTTACTTTCATTAGCAACTGTTGGGTTGATCTTGAATGCAGACATAATTGGGTCCGAATTCGAAAATTTTGGAGACGACGGGCTCTAGCCTCCATGCGGTGTTCTTTCCAAACTATTATAATTTTAATGAATTTTTATCTCGGATAAACTACTTATGAAACAATCGAATTAGAAAATTTCAGCCAAAAATTTGCCTTTAGAATGCCCTGAAAATTTCAGTCTAAAGAAATGTATTCTTCTTGAGATATTGAATATGCAACAATTATCAAGTGTGACAAGAAAAGATTAGAAAGTCTAGTGT